CGGTTGTTCCGAGTTTTCCCAACAAAGTGGTATCAGAGCACTGGTTGTGTCGATTGAATTTCTTGTGCAGTTAAAATGGAAAAGGAAGATTCAGGCATGATAAAGCTTACTTCCTCAAATTATTTTCTATGGAAAACAATGATGGAGGATCACTTATATTGCAATGATTTGGCTTTGCCGATTGAATGTAAAGGAATAAAGCCTGATGATATGGATGATGCAAAATGGAATGGGCTAAATAGAAAGGCTATTGCTAATGTTAGAAAATAGGTATCTTCTAAGTCCATTAATCATATTTCTCAAGAACATGACTGCTATACAGTTTGGAAGATGTTAGAAGAAACATTTGCTAAGGAGAGTGCACAAAACAAGGTTTTTGTAATTAGAGACCTTGTGAATTTGAAGTATAGAGATGGTGAAGATGCTTCAGTGCATATAAATGTATTCCAAGGGTTCTTAAATCAGTTGTCATTGATGAATCTGGAGTTAGCTGATGAAATGCAAGCACTGATCCTACTGAGTTCATTGCCGGATAGTTGGGAGACTTTGGTGGTGTCACTTAGCAATTCTACTCCGAATAGGAAGATCACTTTGAAAACAGTGAAGGATTGTATCCTCAATGAAGAGAAGAGGAGGAAAGGCACAAGCACTTCTGAGTCTTATGCATTTGTTACAGAAAGTCGAGGGAGAAGTCCAAACAGGTTCTCTCGCAGCAAGCAAGATAGAGAATCCAGTAATAGAAAAGGCAAATGGAAGCCAAGAGGAAGATCTCAGTCAAGGAAGGGTTTTAAGTGCTATTATTGTGACAAGCCTGGGCATATGCAAAAGGATTGCAGAAAGTATAAAAGAGATAAAAAGGGTAAAGATGAAGATAAGAATGAAGAGAATGGTACAGCTGCAGTTGTATTTGATGGTGATGTTGCCATTGTTTGTGATGATGGTTGTGTTAATCTTGCATGTCAGGATACCACCTGGGTTGCAGATTCAGCAGCTTCTTACCATGTTATACCCCGACGTGATTTTTACACATCCTACACTGCTGGTGACTTTGGTCAAGTTAGGATGGGAAATCAAGGGATGGCTAGTGTTGTGGGCATTGGAGATATTTGGTTGGAAACCAATACTGGGTGCAAGTTGCTACTCAAAGATGTTTGGCATGTGCCTGATATGCGCCTACACTTGATCTCTACAGGTACTCTTGATGAAGAAGGCTATCACAATTACTTTGGAGATGGTAAATGGAAGCTTTCCAGAAATTCCCTGATTGTTGCTAAAGGGAAGAAGATGGGTCTCTACATGTCACAAGCCAAGGTGATCAAAGGGGAGGTGAATGCAATTGAAGATTGCTCTACTGATCTGTGGCATAAGCGGCTTGGACATTTAAGTGAGAAAGGCCTTGGCATCCTTGCCAAGAAGAACTACCTTCCATTAAAAGGTATGAACTTGAACACATGTACTCATTGTTTAGTTGGCAAACAACACAGAGTTGCAGTTCAAAGATCACCTTCACATAGAAGATCACATGTTCTTGATTTAGTTCATACTGATGTTTGCTCTATGATTGACAAGTCTCTTGGAGGTGCATTGTACTTTGTTAGTTTTATTGATGATCACTCCAGGAAAATTTGGGCCACTTGTTTGAAATCCAAAGATCAGGTGTTTGATGTCTTTAAGGATTTTCATGCCAGAGTTGAAAGAGAAACTGGTAGAAAGCTCAAATGTGTTCGAGCTGACAATGGTGGTGAATATAAGGGTGCTTTTGAGAAGTACTGCAGGGAACATGGTATCAAGTTGGAGAAGACAGTTCCTAAGACTCCACAGCAGAATGAAGTGGCTGAGAGAATGAACAGAACCATTGTTGAAAGAATTAGATGTATGCTCTCTCATGCAAAGCTGCCTAAGTCCTTTTGGGGTGAGGCAATGAAGACTGCAGTTGCGATTATCAACCTTTCTCCATCTGTTCCTCTTGAATTTGATGTTCCAGATAGAGTTTGGAAAGGAAAAGATATCTCTTATGCACACTTAAGAGTGTTTGGATGCAGGGCATTTGTACATGTTCCTAGAGATGAAAGGTCTAAGCTTGACAGCAAGACAAAGCAGTGCATTTTCTTAGGCTCTGAAGATGATGAGTTTGGCTATAGGTTATGGGATCCAAAGGAGAAGAAAATTGTAAGAAGCAGAGATGTTATCTTCTTTGAAGATCAAACCATTGAAGACTTTGAACAGAAAGAGAAAACAAAGTCTACTGTTTTTATTCCAACTAATTCAACTCCAATACCTGCTCCACAGTTACCTTTGATGCTTGCTAATCATGGGGGAGACTTGCAAAATGATGATAATGGTGGTTCTCTTATTGAGCCATTAGTTGGTGATCCTGAAGCAGCTAATAATGATGTTGATGTTATTCCTGAACAGGTTATGCAGGAAGCTCCAGATGAGCCACAATTAAGAAGGTCAACTAGACCTCGCCAACCTTCCACCAGATATTCTCCTCATGAGTATGTGTTGGTCACTGATGGGGGATAGCCGGAATGCTTTGATGAAGCTATGTCATATGAGAAGAAAAGTGAGTGGTTGAAAGCAATGCAAGAAGAGATGAAATCCTTGCATGAAAACCATACCTTTGAGTTAGTGAAGCTTCCTAAAGGTAAGAGAGCACTCAAGAACAAATAGGTGTTCAGGTTGAAAATTGATGAACATTGCTCACAACCAAGGTACAAGGCAAGATTGGTTGTGAAAGGCTTCGGTCAGAAGAAGGGTATTGATTTTGAAGAAATCTTTTCACCAGTGGTCAAGATGTCTTCAATCCGAGTTGTGCTTGGCTTAGCTGCTAGTTTGAATCTTGAAGTAGAACAACTTGATGTGAAAACTGCCTTTCTCCATGGTGATTTGGATGAGGAGATCTACATGGAGCAGCCTGAAGGGTTTGAAGCAAAAGGTAAAGAGCAGCTAGTTTGTAAGTTGAAAAAGAGCTTATATGGGTTAAAGCAAGCTCCAAGACAATGGTATAAGAAGTTTGATTCTTTTATGGTGGATCATGGTTATGACAAGACCACTTCTGATCATTGTGTATTTATGAAAAGGTTTCCAGATGGAAACTTTATTATTCTCTTGTTATATGTGGATGATATGTTGATTGTTGGCCATGATGCTAAGAAGATTCAGATGTTGAAGGAAGAGTTGAGCAAGTCTTTTGCAATAAAAGACTTGGGACCAGCAAAACAGATTCTTGGTATGAAGATCACACGTGACAGGAAGAAGGGAAAACTTTGGCTATCTCAGGAGAGATATGTTCAAAAGGTACTTGAGAGATTCAACATGAGCAACTCCAAACCTGTTTGTTCCACTTGCAAGCCACTTTAAACTAAGTTCTAAGCAGTGTTCTTCAAGTGATGAAGAAAAAGATGAGATGAAAAAGGTTCCTTATGCATCCGCAGTTGGTAGCTTGATGTATGTCATGGTTTGCACAAGGCCGGATATAGCTCATGCAGTTGGTGTGGTTAGTCGATTCCTCTCAAATCCTGGTAAAGAACACTGGTCAACAGTGGAATGGATACTCAGGTATCTCAAAAGTACTTCTAGTTTCAGTTTATGTTTTGGTAATGATAAACCTGTGTTGGATGGATACACAGATGCAAATATGGCTGGTGATGTTGATTCTAGAAAGTCCACATCAGGATACTTGATGAAGTTTGCAGGGGGAGCAGTCTCATGGCAATCAAGGTTGCAAAAATGTGTTGCATTATCCACTACAGAGGCCGAATATATTGCTCTTACTGAAGGGGGCAAAGAGTTGTTATGGATGAAGAAGTTCTTGCATGAACTTGGCTTAGTTCAAGAGAACTTTGTGTTGCACTGTGACAGTCAAAGTGCAATCCATCTCAGTAAGCATCCTACTTTTCACTCTCGATCAAAGCACATTGAGGTTAGATATCAATGGATTCGAGATGCTATGGAGATGAAGTCATTTGTTGTTGAGAAGATCCATACTGATGACAACGTGTCTGACATGATGACCAAACCTCTACCGAGAGAGAAGTTTGAGTTTTGCAAAAAGGAAGCAGGCTTGTTAGAGCCTCCTAAATTGAATTTTACATATTGATCGCCAGTATGGCGAATTCCTCACATGGTGTGTGAGGGGGAGATTTGTTGTGTATGGTCCCACACCATGTGATGGTGGGACCATCACATTAAATGTCATGTGATGGCTGTCTCTTGGTGTTAATATTAGTGTGGTTCGGGTACTGTAGCAACAGATTTGAAAAAAGAAGAGAGGAGAAGAAAATCAAGAGAGAAAAAGAGAAGAAAAGGCAGTAGAGCAGCCTGCATTCTTTCTTCGATTTCCAGCTCGTTCATCGTTGGATCGGGCTGAGATTTTGACAGCAGCTTCTAGACACATTGATCTTCATTCTGGACGGTTGGATCGAAGATTGGTGGAGTGGAAGCTGA